CTAAAATAGCAAATTTCACTCCCCCTTGATTAGGAGTCTCAATAGGAAAGCGGTAAAATTGTTTCTCGCTAGGTCATAGGTTAAGTTCAACCTTTTCCACGACAGGATTATTCTACTTATTTGTCTAGACGCAACTTTTACCTGAAACTTCAATTTGCATCCAAAAATTTCTTCAAAATTTTGATGCTTTCCCGTTTATCGCAATTGTCGCAACACATGCATTGCCGTCTGACAAGCCTTCCGGTCTTTTTATGAGTACTGAGTTGCAATTAGAGAATCAACAAGGAAATCGTTAAGTTCAGAACTCACTTCAGACCGCTTCTAATTAACTATTCAATTGTGAATAATTTAGTAAAAATCCAGTGCAATTTTTCCAAAGCTCTGCTTTGATACAAACTGGCTTTTGCGTAAGAAATACATTTGAGAGGTTTGCAAAAAAATGAGACTTGCACAGGTGATTAGACCTGGTTTGAACAGTCTGTGTTGATCTTGGATTTATACAGTCTGACTAGAATTGCCGGCTCGCAACCAAAGTGAAATCGGATCAACTAAATTGCGTTTTCAAAACAACACAAAAGATCGTTTCATCATTCATTATATAAAGCTTCATACCTTTCAGGAAAAGATAATCTTCAAAGTTCAAATCGGTCTAATATAGTAGGCTTCAAAGTGTTTTTCACCAGTTTTTTATCTTGTGGTTGATTTTTTTGAACCAAGAAGCAATTTTTTTCAGTCATTTTATTTTTATTGAAAATACATTTAGGACAATTGATGAAATTTTTGCCTTAAGACAAAAAACTTCTGAAGCTGAACTGATTTGCTTCTAAAAGGATTAGAATTAAAGCTGCCACACAAGTGTATATTTTTACTTTCTGTTGAGTAAATTAGTGAAACAAATGTCATTTAAAAAAAATAACGTACGTTTGTCAGAAGTAAATTTCGTCGTGTTTTCTTCATCAGCAAAATATCCGGATCTAAACAAAACAGATTTCGTCTCATAGATTATGAAGATACGGATGCTCATGATCGCGTTCTAAAAAGCTGGAACTTCAATAATGTTTTTGGGAATCCAGTTTTTCGAAAGTTTCGGTTCTTTCCGAGCAATGATGCTATCAAAAACATGCTTTTTCAGTTTTTCCATCAATTAGGTCAAGCAAAACTTTCGCGTTTTTTCCGGATAAAATTGATAATTTATTTAACTTACGAGTGTTTGCCGTATAGGTCGGATCAAATGCAATTGGTTTCGGGTGCAGCTCAACATCAATGGGTCGGAAATCGTCGTGGACTTTCAAACTCATTTCAACTTTGTCAAATGACTTCGAAAACGAACTTCGTCGTTTGCATTTTTTGCTCTGGTAGAAAGCCGAAACGGTCGGAACAACTTCGCCTATTTCGGGCCAACTCGACTCGCTAACGTTGGAATTTTCCAAATGGTTTTCATATTCGGGACAATCTTTCTGAATTTTCCGCTCACACAGCCTTGACGACTTTTTAGGCGCGCATGGCTCCATGAGTGTCATTGAATTTTCCTCTTTTGACCGTGAGAGGGCAACAGATTCACATGCTTGGTTCTGAATCGAGTGATTCGAACTGCTACTACTGGTTGAAGTTCCGTATGCGATTTTACAATTTGTACATTCACATTTCTTACCTGACGAAGACGAGGAGGGCATAAAATTTTTTGGAGGCAGAAACGGGGGAGGTTGAGGCGACTGCGAATTATGAACCCTGTGAATCACGACACCCGACGTTCTTCGGTTATTGAACTCGGATTTACCCGAAGCTAGAGCCGAGGGCTTCATTCTTGGTGGGATTATAACTTCGTTTCCCGACGACTCTCGTTTGTGATGTGTCATGGAATAGTTATGCTCGGCGAAACTACTCGTGTGTAGCGAGTCGGAACTTCCAATCGAAACCGACTGGTGACTCGAGTTTGAAGTCGTTTTAGAGTAGTTGTCATTTCCGCTGTAAGTCATGGCTCGGGTTTTGAAATGCGACCCGCACATCGCTATATGTTGTGACGAGCGTTGCGAGCAATGACAGCCATCACAATGAAACGACTCTGTCGACGAATTTGACGAATGACTTGAAATACTCGGCGCTTGAGGACTGAAAATCTCCGAAGCTGTCGAGCGAGAATGCTCGGACGGCGTTCGATTGTCGTTTCGATTCGGGTTTGTCTCGATTTGTACGTGAACAAATTGACCCGATTCAATTCTTTCGTGGCTGGTGCGGGTACGAGTCAAGTTCGGCGACTTCACTGGCGGGAAATAAATCCTCGGAGGGGGTTCGGGAGGTATTTCAAACGAAGTTGAAATCTCGTCGGAGTCATGTTGGAAATTCAACGACTTGTCAAAAATACATAAAATTTCCTCTCGCGACTCGGATGAGTTAAGTTGTCCTCGTGAGTTTTTGTCGAATGAAGAATTACTTGGAAAACTGCGAGTGATAGCTGGTGAACTCGGGGCCGAGTTTTCAGTAGTGCCACCGCGACGCAAAATGTTCTTCTTTATGTTTCCGCAAAGGAAACTAACTTTTTCTTTGACCATTTGAACGAAATAAACTCAAAGAAATCTGGTCAAAATTGGGTCGATAAATCTAGCGAATAAAATTTACTAATTGGTGACAGATTTTTACGGTTCAAAACCCCTCTTCGATAATTAACTCAAAATTAGAAACACAAGTCAAGTTGGATTGTAATAAATTGGATAAATTTAACCCAAATTGACGCAAAGTGTGAAATATAAAGGCGCTTCTTGGGAGAAAATTTAAAACATGATTGGTCCGAACAACTATCAGTTACCTTTCGAACACTTATAAGCTGTTATAACTGTTATTAACTTAGTTGTGAAGGTATAAAAGCTGTATTTCAAAGCGACTTTGGAGTGTTTTCTGCTGCGAAAGTGCTGAGTTTTTGATTGCAAAATTAAGCAGAATTTCACCTTTCGCGCGTAACTTTGAAGGTTTTCACCCAAAGGGTTTCTTGTGTTCGGTGCCCAGGGCTACTAAAATGACAGGGTATTGTTTATTCAATGGGGGTACAAGATTATTTAGCTAAATGGTGGCGAAATATGAAATTTGCACCAAGGCGACAAGTTATACTGAATAATAGGATTGACAACTTTCGCCCTACTTTTTACGGAGAAACTGACGGAGTTGTTTTAAGAGCTATACAGACAATGAACACGAAATAAAAAATTACGTTTTTCACGCCGAGTTAATGAAATGGTAATAAAATAGTGAAGTTTTAATATGGTAATAATGATGGTAATATATGGTAAGCTGTTAGTTAATAAAAGGTTACTTTTCGTCCGTTATATGGCTTTATGAACTTGTACACGATGGAAAATAACCGATTTTGGGTAATTTTAGAGGGGCATGTTATTATATCAGCTCGGATAAGGATTTTCTTTCAATAATCTCCTGTCAATTTTTTCGCAATTTCCACTTTAGGCTGAAAATTGAAGGAAATTTAGAGCGCTAAAACATACAACGGGCGGAGTGCAAAAAGATAACTTTCCCTCCTTCTCTAAAATTTACTTTTTCAGGGCATGCAAAGAGTGAAAAGATAACAAAATGAAATCTTTTCAATCGTTAAGCTATTTTCGTTTTGTACCATCGAGTTTTGTTTCTCTTACCTTAAGGAGAATAGTAAATGTGTTCTATTTTGTTTACTTCTTAAACTGGAAAATTGTACTCCATTTTTTAATGCGTTGTATTCCATTCAAATGAGCATTTAGTTTTTTTGATAATCAGGAAATGAACAAAACAAAACCTGCAGTTTGTTAAATGAAAAGATTAGAGAGCAATTATTTTAGTTTTTCTTGCAAATACTCAGATATAAAAATATGATGGTACGCAGTCACAACTTATTTATCTTGCAAACTATATTTACATTTTGTGATGAAACAATACTAAACAGGTTTTTACATAGTTACTCTAATTTGATTGAATATTTTTCATCAATGTAATTGGGGTATGAAATGATGTCTTTGTAATAATTTGAATACGTAAAAATTTTTATATAAAAAATGACAAAGAAAAAAATTTCGCGATTTTCGTTTACTGTTCAAAATAAAACATCGGTTTGCAATTGAAATTTTGCATTGACCTGAATCACGTGTTAACAAACGAGTTTTATTAGGCCAATTTGTTTTCATAAAAAATAAGGCAAGAAAGCTGCGGTTTTATTTGGTCAGAAAGTAAAAATCACCAAACATTTAAATGGTAAAAAAGGAAAACATACCATCATTATTTATGCCTGCAATCATTTTAGTTCCAGATAATAAATTTTCCTCTGCTATCATATTTTCCACGTGAAATAAAAAACTAAATGTGGGAATGAAAATTTAGCCAATCAGATTGCAGGAAAGAAACTTAATGGAAAAAGGAAATCTACATATTGATTGGCATATGAGAAAATGGTATCACCCCATATCTCTTCTGGTTGCAAATCCGTTATTTGATCCAAATGTGGATTTACAGGCCCACCAATAAAATCGAATGTTGCACTAAACCTATAAACAATTTAGTAATGTTTATTTGTTTATTATGGCGGTCGTTGTACCTATTTTGACAATTGACTGTACCTTGATTTCAAAAAAAAAAAACAGATCGGATTCATTTTTTTCACAGTTGACGTAAGCAACCTTGCGAATATCAGGGCGGTCTTCAAACATCCGACCTCTCGACGAAAAAAAAAACATTTTACCAAGTAAACGCGTGATCGCAACTTACTATTTTTTGAAACAAAATCATTTTCAGCAAGCAACCCGATTTTTTTAGTTTAATCACGTGCTCTCTGAAATCGTCAATTCTAACGTCACTTTGAATCATGTGCGTTCGTTTAAACGAGGTTTTGAAATCTGGAACGGCACTGTTCAATTTTGGTTGCTAACCGACATTTAATGGAAACACGTTGGAACTATTTGATTAAGGCTTTAATCAGACGCTTCTTAGATCCTTTCAAATGCTCTCTTCTTGAACTCAAAGTGGGAACGAAAGCGGTTGCCTGAATTGATTTTTTAAGAGATTGCGTAAGCAGAGGGTGCTCTTGTCTGTATGTGGTTTAGAGATTAAATACTCAGCTTTAAGATCCTAACAAAACAAAAGCACCCACCAAAGTGCAATTGGCAAAATATTTGATCAATGCAAGCCCTTAATTTCAATCTTCTCTACACATTTTGGCGCCAGATTGCGCAAAAAATATTAAGTGCAGTTTTCAAAGGTGTAAATTTTCTAAGATCCTCTTGCAAATGTATCTGAAAATATAATTTGTTCAGGCTGTTGGAGCTGGTCTGAAAATGCACTAGTAATTAATTTGGAGTTTAACAAATTCATTCAATAACCGATTTTTATTAGGCCGTGAAATGTTAAATATCTTGATCTAGAGGCCGTTGGATCGAGGCCCGCACTGATCTGTACTCACTTGGTGCATTAGTATGAGTAAGGCAAAATATCAGAACCCCTATCAATTTTAAAAGTGCACATCAGCTAAACCCAGACAAACACAGCGGTTCTCCGGATGGCGTTGAACCGCTCGGTAACATTCAATCTATCGCCCAAAAGAGCAGTTCAAATGCATACACCGGTTTCATTTTCAGCATCAATTTTTGCAGCGAAATGACTCGAATATTTCTTTTTAAAAAAGTGACTTAATCTCACCCTGAGCCAGATTTTGGGGAAAAAATGAACTTTCTATGAACCTAGTAAATCTAGTTTATCAAGGGTAATTTAAGCTGTTATTGAGTTTAATAATCTCGAGTTTTCTATTAACTCGTTTATAAAAGCCCCATACCAAAGTCAAAACCACCTGCTACTCTTGGTATAAATAATTACTGAATCCGCACGTGAACTCACGCCTAGTTGGACAACTTGAAATAAGGGAGTTTAACTTTCACAGATCGACTGTTTATTCCTAGTCCTGGGATTTCTTTCAACCAATCTTTCAACCATCTTAAGCCTCTTATTAGTTAATCATTTGTTTTTGAAGTTTTCATTCAGAAATCTCATAAATTATATGTTGTGGAAAGTAAAATTAACGAATAGACAAAAAAGTATGAATGTTAAATACTATTACGAAGAGCATCTTCTGCTTAAATCTAACTTTTACAAAAACGTGTCAAAAAGATTGTCATTCTTGGCCAAAAATAGTCATTTTAGATGAAAAAAATTGACACTACGATTAAAAGCTGCATTGTATTAAAATCAGAGAATGATCTAAAATTTTTCTAGAGGGAGGTGGAATTATTTTTAAAAAAGCAAGGAAACTTTCAAAGATTTTGTCGATCTCTTTTCAGGTCTACCAAATTGATATTCTGTAGGAATGTAGCGCCTCTTTGAAACCAAGACCTTCAACGCCGAAGAATCCCGACCCTTCCTTATCCCGCACGAGTTTGTACAACCTATAGAAATCCCAATTTTAGAATTCATCCACAACACTAAATTCAATCACAAATTATATAATCTAATCCAAAACACACCTTATGAGTTTGCAGTTGGCACTGAAGAACTAACCACTATCAAGGCACTTCAATTGCTTTGACCACTGCTTCAGACTAAAAATATCATCCGCATCTTAGCTAAACTACTAACAACTTCCGATCTCATCCACGACATCTTCCCCCACGGTTTTTTCCCCGACGACTAACAGGTAAGTATGAATTAAATGAATATTACTAACTAATTAAAATATTAAAAAACTCACCATACTTTATCCATGTTTTCTTTAGATTTTTAGCCTTCATCCGACAATTACCTACAAAAACCACAAAAGACAAATAAAAATCGCAAATTTCATCAAACAGATTTCAAAAATTCTATTAATCTCTTACACTTATAAATTTATAAATTTAATACCAATGCAGTAAATTCATTTCTAAAATTTTCCCCACAAGCAGTAAATCTAATTATGATGAAAATTTGTAACTTAAAATTCCCCCATAACTAGCAGTAAATTTCCAAATTCTATGCAGTAAATTAATAAAATGCAAATGCAGTACTAACCTTTTGATATTTTCATTCATTCGCACAGAAATTCTATCCACACTCGCACAGCTCGCCCACGAAGAATTGTTTAAAATAATGAATTTCAGTTTCAAGTTTTCACACTCAACAACTCTAACATATAATAACATGTTTCAAACCTTCCTTTAACCCGGTTGGAAAGGAATCATATACTAAACAAAACTAACCAACGCAGCTTACTAAATACCACAAATCATAGAATAACAGCATGACTAAGAAAAGGAAACCAACGGTACCCAAACCGGATTAACCCAGTTTAAAACTGGATAATTTATTCTTTTGAAGACTATTATAAAGTCTAAAAAAGAAATAATAAAACACAAAAAAGTCGAAAGACAAACCCATACCACGAACAATTTGCTTTTTGGAAAAAGGACATAACCAACAAGACATAAGAAAAACCACAACAAACCCAACATAAAACATTGTCACATAACAGGACCCCTCATAAAAACCGCATGAAATCATACTCCCACTCCTGGCCTAACCCACCAGGAAGGACGTCCTGAGCATGCTCTATAGCCGGCCTAACCCACCGCGCTACATCCACGCTTTGTGACCACACCTCTATTTTTAATAAGAGCTACTCAAGGGTGAGTAACTCTTCAAAATAACCGAACTAAAACAAAAAGCTTTTGTGAAAACAACTAACTAAAATCATAATTAAAAAATATTAAACTAATAAATGTTTTATAAAATGTTAATTACATTATGCAATACATAGATCAGAATACAACACCAAGGACGAACATCTAAAGACAAAACGACCCCACTACACTCGAGAGAGAATGACCAACCACAATCGATATGCCACTCACAATCACAACTCAAAGGATTTAGAGTACGACTTGACTTCGCAGAAAAGGACTTCATTGAACTAGACCAATGACCACCTCGATGTTCAAGTATACGTACAGATCCGAGTAACCAGGCATCCCCTCCACGCACAATCTCCACGCCATTCCCAAACTAGATCAGACACAAAAGAAGTTCTCCACGCAGAACAGAAAAACCTGACATAGCCAACCATTCTGAAATCAGATTTGAGTTTGTTGCAAAGACTTAGTCGTTGTCACTAGAAGACACAACGTCTTATGTCTCTAACTCCAGCTTCCTGGAACTTCTTTAACAAAGAGGAAACGGAAGAAAATGATGTTCGCCAAAAACCAACGTCCATCATCCATCCTTCAAATTGCAGAAGAACTATTCTAAAAAACTCTGTAAAACCCGGATGGGTGGAACCTGATCTAAACTACATTTTATGATTGGATAAATTAGATATTTTACCAATGTAAAGTATTTAATATTAACCAATCATGATCCATCTAACTAACAACCCACTTATTTGTAAGTGCTGAAGTTACTTGTAATTTCAGCACCAGAGAGATTTGAATTTAACTTAGAAATTAGTTGGACTCTCCCGAGCACTTCAGCAGCCGCAATAAACCAGTATACCCTAGATCTATTGAGCCTAGCAGAGACTAGTTAAACAACCTGAGACTAGATAGTATAAGAGTAAGATTAGGATCGGTATTAGACTAAGAAGTTGCACGAATCTATCCGGCCGAAAATAAGATAGCGTGACGAGCAGACGGTGTACCCTATCCGAAATTACTCTATGAGTTATAAACACCAGTCCTAACTCAACAGGCAAAAAATAATCTTTTAACACAGATTTTGGAAGGTTTTGGCCTAAAAGAAGTATTTTTCATCGGGCGGATTCCCCACATTGGCGATGAAGCCTTTCAAAAAATTTTATGTTTTTGATCATGTGGTTGAGTTCTCTTGATGATCGGAGGCGACAGCTATTCACCCACCTGGCTACTGACAAGGGTTGAGCTAAATATTGGAAAACAACGAGTTGGAAGTTTTTTTTTATTCAACGCAAAACCGAAACCATAAATACACTAAATTTCACAAAATTAATCAACATTAGTTTGGTCGCCCGCTTGTAGGGAATGATTTTTGACAGCTGCGCTTTGCTATATTGATATTTTGAAATCCCATTTATTATAATAACCGATACCTTTTCAACGATTTCCAGTTTTTTTCACAGTTTTATTACAAATCACTTACTCTGATAAATCAACGGCTCACGCTCTTAAAAGTTTACCCTATCAAAATTCTTTGGTCCGTGAGCTCTGAGCTCTCTGTAGTATTCTCATCAGAAAATTAATGAAATGATTTATGAGTTTTGACCACGAGACTGAATTGAGTTTTCTTGTGGGGCTGTTTTTTCAAGGACCACATCCAAAAAGAAAAATTTGCAAGACGAGGTTGATGAATAGGTGATACTATAGTTCTAACAGTTGCGACATGGCTGATGTTAAGGTTCGATTTT